CCCCCTTCCCCATAGTTGGGGGCAGGGTGAGACCTCCCATAGCTCCTCTCCAGCTGGGGGGGCTGTTCATGTGCCCCCACAGCTCCTGGGTGGGCCTGGTCCCCTTCCTCTCTTCATCTCTGGGATTTGGGACTGTTGTCATTCCCTTGCAGAGCTCCTGGGACTGAGCTCCTTCCTCCTCCCTGCCCTGGGGGGACTGAGGGGGGGACAGGCAGCCTTCCCCCTCCAGCACAGGGCTCACAGAGGGGCTGGCAGGGGTCCCCCCACTTCTTCAGCTGTAATATCTCTTGCTGTTAAGGTGGTATCTTGTTTTGGGGCCCCAGTTCCCAGGGGGGTTTTCTTGCTCCTCCAGTTTTTGAGGAGTGGCTGTGTGAATAAGAAGCCGGTTGGGCTTTGGGCTGTCTAGATCCTCTCTGGCTTCTCTAGGTACCGCTGTCCCGAGGATGGTGTTTGAGAACGGGGCGTGTGGGTCTCTTATCACACCCCAGCGTCCTGGGAAGAACAGTGCTGCGGCTGCCAAATGGTTTAGGGAGGAGGGAATCTCGCTATTATGCTGGTTTTGGTGGGGAAAGAGAACACGGGAGGTGTGGAGAGGATCCTGTTGCAGCCTCGGTAATGCAGCCTGTGTGTTTTCTGGTCCTGTAACAGCAGTCTGCCTCTTTGGAGATGGTTGGGAGGAATGGAGAAGCTCTCTAGGAGGGCCCGGTGTGGTTCCAGATGTAGAAGGCTCATGGAGAGGTGGGCACCATCCTGAATCGGGCTGTAGGTCTGCTCTGACTTCCCACAGTGAACAAACTGGGAATAGCAAAGACTAACGGCAGGTTCTTGCTGTCAATTCTTGAGGTGCCCAGTGAGGTTTGAGGGATGCTGGCTCGCTTTGGGACTGTGGGCAGTGAGCTTGCCCTGGGCTGGGGGTGTTTTCTGAAGTCCTGGGAAGGAGGAGGCGGCCAAGGGGCAGGGAGCAGACCTTCTGCAGGGAAGTAGAGCATTTCAGTGAGGCTATTTCTTTTGGGTCTCAGCCACTTCCTTAAGAGCCTCGCGCATTTTGGTTTGTGAGAGGGAGAGTGGGTTGGTAGTAACAATGTGTTGTTTTCTTTCAAACCCAGATTCTTTTCCCAATTCTCCTGTTTCTCAGGCTCTGCCCCTGTAAAGTCCCTTAATTTGTCACTGCTGGTGTCTGCCTGTGCTTGGGTAACGGGCAGCCCTTAGGGGCTGTGATTATCTTCCCACAATTAGTTTAATTCAAAGAGACTCCCCTAGAAGGTGAGTAGGGGAGTTTGATAGCCTCCATACGTAGGTTTTAACAGTGCATTAGGAATTGAGCCTTGTTTGTGGAAACAGCTGCCTCAAAGGATGTATTTTTAGTGTGTCTGAGGAGGAAAAAAAATGCGTCACCCCACATGTGGCCGTGCTGGCATGAGCAGAGGCGGGAGGACTGACGGAGGTGCTTCCCAAAGACTCTCTTCCCCTGAGTTTTCCTTGTCAGGAGTTGCAGGAGGATCGGTGAGTTCTGCCAGCTTTTACTCCTGGTGTTAATCCTGCAGCCTGGTCTGTGCGAGGGGGCCCCGATTCCCCATAGGGACCACTCTAAACCAGTGGGACCGTGCAGAAATGTATGGCTGCGGCTGTTGGAGAGGTGGTGCCACTGTGGAGGTAGCTCAGGATCTCCTGCGATGACCAGGAGTACCAACAGCGTCTGAAGCTCTCATCATCTTGCAGGAATTGCGTTTGTCTCTAGTTTTCTGGGTCTATTCCGCCCCGATTAGTTTCTCCTGGGTCTAATCCCTCCTTCTGCTAATGTGTGATTGCTCCCTGCAAGGTATTTTCTAGGGCTTTAATTTATTTGTACCATCAAGTACCTAAGCACACATCTGGGTGCTATAAAAATAATAACAGACTAATAGCAAGCGAGCAGTTATGGCGTGGGGCCGTTGTAGCATGCGATGGGAGCGAGGGAACTCGGTGTTCCCTTCCTTTTGGCATCTTACGTGGCAGATTTTCTGTTTATACCGCTAGAATAAACGGGGTGTCCTGGCTGAGTTTAGAAACTTTACATTGTAAAACCCAAAGTGATGAAATAGCACGAAACCCGCCGGGATGGAGATAAGTGGTAACTGCTCATCACGACTTGGAAACGGTCGAAGGTGAGGGGAGCGTCGTTAGGTTGAAAGCCTGGGGAGATCCTGGTCATTCTTCCGTGAAATGTCTGCCTGGAATCACCAAGCCCTTGTCTGTGTACACCAGTGTGGATCCTGGTCATACTGGTAAATCTGGGAACAAAAACCTCCCCGCGATGACATTGAGGCCACTTTATGCCGATCATGGCTGCAAAAATGCCTGCCAGTGTTTAAAAACTTAATTTTTCAGGCCGGCCAAATTGTCGGGATTTCTGGATCTCGTCCACCACTTGTTTGTTTTGATATCTCCAGAAGTTAGCAGATGGTAGAGACTTAATTCTGTTAAACGTATGGGAATTTAATCCCCAACCAGCCTCCGGTCAGGATGTGTCGTCTCTGCGTGGCAGCTGTGCTCTGCGCCGGGATGGGAGCTCAGGACCGGGCTGCCGGGCTCCTCTGCGTGGGTTTGCACCCCATTGCGGGGATGGGGGGACGGGGAAGAACTGAGTTTCCTGCTCCGTTCCCTGATGAAGCATCTTTTTTTTGCTTTTTTTTTGCTTGAATTCAATGAAATCTGCGAGGTAGCTATTCATATCCTGGCAGGGGGAATCTGTGTGTTTGCTGCGTGTTGGTGAGAGACCATCTCCTCCCCCCTCCCTTCACCGCTGATTTTAGATTCGCCTCTTTGCTTTTAAAGACTCACTGACTCGCAAAACCCATTGAAAGATAAAAACGATGTTTCAGTGCTGATACTTGCTG